GCTCTGGGAGCGGATGGCCGGGGAGGTGCAAGGGGCTCGGGCGCCGTGCCGGCGAGGTCCGGCCTGCGGGGCGGTGGGTTCGCTGTCCCCGCCGTGGCAGGCGTCGGCTGTGGCGGCGAGGCGCTACCTCGGGGCGGTCGGTGGCTTTCGGCGTGGGGAGCCCGTGCTGGGAGAGCAGGGCCGGGGCGAGGGAGGTCTGGCCGGCTGCGGGTTCCTGCGGCTGCCGGAGTTGGGGAGCCTGGGGGGCAGTGCACCTGCTTGGCTCATCAGAAAGAGTGGCTCTGCTTAGGCCCCTGACAGCTCTGTCCTACTTCAAAAAAAAACCCAAACAACAAACACCCAAAAAAACCCCCCAAACCCCACCCCAAACCAGAACAAACACCAAACACCTACAGCATCTACTCGAAGTAAGTTGTCCGTTAGACCTGGAAGGCTGCTGCCCCTTTTCGTTGTAGTGTCGTGTGTGTGTAAGTGCAAGGGTGGAGAAATCCAAACACAACTTTAAGATCCCGTTTGCCAGCTATGTCAAGAAACTCTGACGTTTCGTTCAGGCACTCCTGCAGTAGTGCTTTCTTGCCGCAAGACACAGCGGTATTTTGGACTTGTGTGGGAATGCACTGTTTCATCCTCCTCTTGAGCTAAAACTGAAGTTCTCTATTTGAACAATAATCTGGTGGGGAGAGAAAAAACCTGCCAAAGAGTAACAGCCCCCTACTCGCCGCTGTAACTCTGTGTTAAAAGCATGGGCTGCAACAAACTTTTATCAGTGAGACCACTTGAGGTCTGGGGACACGTGTCTCGGCGCCGTCATGTGGCGGTGACAAAGCTGGCTCTTATTGGTGGCACTCGGGGAACTCTTATTCGCTGTAGGTGTGCGAAGGGTCGGAGAGCTGGACTTACTTTGTACGCTCTGTAGTTCAAAAGAAAAACAAACCCCACAATCCTAAAAACCCGTATTGAAACAATAAAAATTTTGTCAAACACTGATTTGAGGAATTTAAAAGTGCAATTTGAAAGAGTTATAAAGATACTGGTAGCTCAGATGTGCTTAAGTAATCCAAATGCTTTTATTTTAAAAGTACTGGTTACCCAGGAGGCTACAGTAGCTAACAAACCTTGACCCATACCTTACCTTTTCCTTAAGTGTGCTTGTTCTGTAGTTTGCCTGAGAACATCTGAGGTCTGGGCTTACTACAGTGAAATTGTGTGTGTGGTTTTTTTGTTTTAAAGGGTAACCGTTTTGAGTGAGAACTTACTGTCTGCTTAACAATGCTAAATGCAAAGTTTTGTTCTTTTTTCTTTTTTTTTGTCCCAATTATTTCCACTGATTCCTGCTGTTTCCTGCAACTTCCTGTTTTGTTCCTCTTTTTTTTAATATTTAAACTAAAGGCTGAACATGTTCCTGTTTTCTCTTCCTTCTTTTCTCATCTGCCCTATTGCTTTATCTCTGACTTTTATTCCCCTTTTAATCCTTTATCAATGCCTTAATGGCCTTGTATTCTCCAGTTGCCAGAGGTTGTTTAAGTTTAATGCTACAAATACAGTGATCTCAGAAATGACAGGAGATGCCTGTAATTATCAAAATCCCCACTGTAACAGTCATGGATATGGAGTTCTGCTCTTGTCTTTGTTAAGGAGATTTTTTTTTTTTTTTTTTTTTGGAATCTCAGGTTATTTAAGCTTACTACACTGTTCCTTGGCACTTCTGTTTGAAGCGGCTGATGCATATTATAAATCTTATTGAGTTAAAACCTGCATTGCTTTAAGAGATGTGATAAAATTGTCAGTTACTGCAAGTTTCCTCTATGTATTTCTCAGTAATGTGATTTCACCAAAAGGTGTAGGCAGACTGTTCCTGCATACCTCCAGCATGGTAGGGTGATTCATCTAAAAAGAAGGGTAGTGCTAGAGGTCAGTAGGTGGAAAAGCAGTATCAAACCCATAGTTGTTTTTTCTGGAGTTGTTTTGTTTTTGTTTTTTTTCCTTTTCACATGCTATGGTACTTCCTGAATTGTAGAAGACCAGTGACTTTGGTAGCTGGGCCTTAGGTTTTCTGATCATCTTTGAAGCAGGATCCTGAACTCTTGGACCAATGGGCTGGTGTCTGTCTTTAGACTATGAACTGAACAGATGAGTTTTAAAATGTAGAACAAAATAAAAATAATAATCTCTTGAATGTAATTCCATGCACCAACTCCAGGTTAAGACTGCAGCTGACAAAACTGTTGATACTTGAGTCCAGTGTCCCAAAGTAGTGCTTCCTACTGTTTTGAATTCTGCTGTCCTTTTTCTGTTTTTTCTTCCTCATTTATCTTTCTTCCAGCTCTCAAAGAGAAGCTGCTACATGGCTAGCAAAGGATATTTCTCTGTTAGAGAGAGATTTGTTTTTTACCAATATGCAAACGATCTTCTCATCAAATATTGATGAGTCCAAGCTCTGTTTTCATTCTTGCAATGCTTGTCAAACCCCCTTCCCCAAAATAAATGCTTCTTTATTTATTAGCTGATACTTGTTTTCTTTTCAGTGGACTCATTGGTTGCAGCTGGGCCATGGTGTTTGCTGCTGGAGGCTTCAAAGTGAAACTTTATGATATTGCACAACAACAGCTAACAAGTGCACTGGAAAACATTCGGTAGGTCACCTGATTTGAAATGACCAGGATTGTAATGAAACTGTGGGAATTATGAATGAACAGGCACATCTTACTCTTTAAGGGATTCTCAAGCTTGGAAGAAGGCTTTAACTTAGAAGTACAGATCCTGTTAAGGTCAGAAGAACTATGTTCCCAAATCTCTCAATGACACTTCTGAAGAGCACTTTAATTCTTAAGTAGTGATTTAAGAGCTTATGTTTAGATCCAAGTTCTCGAAACAATGTTTACCATGATTAGTTTTTCTATAAGCTAAGCTTAAAATACATGAACATAAGAGGTTTTGCGTAGAAAGACAACAAAGAGTTTCAAAATGGAAGTAGGTTAATATGGATTGCTGAGGAGCCCTGCTACAATTATTAGTATTTCATAACTAGAACTTTTAAAATTCTTAAACTAATATTTTTTGAGTCCTAGAAGAACAGATGGCTACTTCCACTAATGATGCAACTGCTGATCAGTTATAGTAGAGGCTGGGAGGCATCTTTAGAAGGAGCAAAATCTGAAACTGTGAACACAAGAACAATTGCACTGCTTCAGACCAACAATCCTCCAGCTCTTTACTCTGTTGCCCTGTGGTGCTACAGCTAAAGGCGCATGCTCTCTTGGTACATGACAGAGCTACAAGTTCAAGTTCCTGCCTGTCTGCTCCCCTCGCCCAACCTTTAGTGCCTCTAAGTTGCTTGTGTATTCAGTAACTCTAACTAGATTTCTTCCAAGTATTTCTCTAACTTTCCCTTGAACTTGTGTAAATCCTTTTGTGGCCTCGTTGCCAAAGGACTTTGTGTTCTGCAGGTTTACTGCTTGCCTTATGAAGTACTATTCCCTTTTGGCATGTTGCAGCCTGATTGTGTTCTGTAACAAGGCTTACAGCAAGGAGGCGTGACTTCATGAGCCCCTTGTAGGTCAGTTCAGTTGTTGGAGTTTCGAAGTTAAACAATATGTGATATCTAGTGAGGTTTGCTAAAAAAGGCTTGATAATGAAAGAGGGGGGGAAAAAATATCTCCCCTACATTTTTTTTTTTCTTTGTTCCCCAAACCCCTCTTTCCTGGTTGGTGTTAGTCAGACTGAACATCTCTGTTGCTACACCTAAATGACAGACACTTCTGTTTTTTTCAGAATCACTGTCATAGCAGTAACCTTAATGGGATTCTGGATTAGTGTGGAAGGGGCAGTTTTGCAGTCTACATTACTAAAGACAGCACTTGCCCCTAATTTTTTCTTTTTCTAATAGCAAAATGAGGACTTAAGCTTTCTAAGGCTTTTGGCTTGGGAAAGTGAAGCATAAGATGTCATGTGTAATAGGATAGAGTGTTATTTGGGTGCATCTGTACTGTCCTGTGCCTGCATGTGCTGCTGCCCCGTAGGAGTTCAAGGCAGGTTTTGCCTTTTACGTAAGGTGCTCTTAACCCAACTTATAATTAACTTGTACGTTTTGGCTGTTGTAACATCCTGGTTAAAAAGCCTAGTTTCAGGACAACGTTTTTGTGACAAGAATACAAGCTATGCAGTTTCTTCCACCAGTATTTTAATGATTGTATCTATCAAAATATGGTCAAACTTGAACTTCTTTGCACTGATTTCATAGCACACAATGTGCAGTAAATCTCTCTGAGTTATTGATATGATACTTGTGTGAGGGCTGGAGCTTGAGTAGGTAACAAGGGCTCACAGGAGAGAGCAACTGACAAAGTCAGCTGGTGGCTACTTATCTGGACTTGCTGGGATTTGCTTTTCTTTTTCTCTCCAAATAGCTAGTACTTTTAGGGAAGTTTTTAGGCTTAGGGTTTCTGTGGGTTTTCTTGTTTTAGTATTGAGAAGTATTTGTTCCGCTCTAGTCTGCAGTCTGTGAACTTTTAGTGTATGAAGGTACTCTACATATTAAAGAGAAACTGGGGCATACAGAGGACTGTTCGTAGTTTCCCTTTTCTAAACAAGTGGGATTTGAGTAGTAAACAACATTCACTTCTAAAAGCAGATGATACTCCTTTGGCAGAAATATTAAATATTTATTAACTATTTTATGTGGTGGACTTTTAGTACATTGACCTGTAACTCATTCTGAATTTATATACAGGACATCTTGAGGTTCACTTACCTAATGAATTCAGCTGTCACACAACCATAGGTGGGCAGCAGGGGTGTGTAGTCCTGCAGGAGGACTGGAATGAGGCTGGTACGGACCTACAATGATCATGAGAGCCTGCATGTATCTATGGAAAATCTGAAATGTACTCTAAATTTATTCAAAAGACTTTGGTTATGGGTAAAAAATAAGATTAAAGCATGGAGTTTGGATCTACTGAAACAAGTGGAAATATGTATCATGTTGCCACAATATCAGTAGACCAGATACAGAAGGAAAAGGAGAGTGTGTTTACTAAGGCCTACATGGTGTGATGGATTTACTACCTATCTACCTGTTGCCAGACGCATGGCAGTCAGTGCCCTGGCATACAAAACAACCACACATTGGATTGAACTGGGTGTACCAGTGGCATTATTAACCAGTGTCTGCTCTAATGGTACAACCTTTTGTTCTGTTGGAGAAACAAACTAATGAACAGCTTTATGCCACGCTTGACCTACTGAATACATGCTGTAGTAACCTGCCTTGGAAAAGGTAACTTTTCATATCCAGTATGCTTTTTTCTGAGTCAGTGTGATTCTGGTTTGAATGCAAGATTGATAAACTTTAAAATAATGAGAGTTAGAAAAACAAGTAGTACCCTATTCCTGAAAGTAATCCTAAAACATATGATGCAGAAATGCTTTAGTGCATGCCTCCCAAAAAACCTTCAAGATTCTTGTAATATGTAAACTTTTTTTGAATAGTTACTGTGCTACTGTTCTAAACATATTATGCTGCTGATAAAGGCTGATTAATTACAGTGGAAATGCTGTATTTTTTCCCCTATGTAACTGGTTCATGTTTTATATAGAATAGTTTTTGCATGTATAGTGAAAGACTATTGCAAGGGGAAAAAGTTCAGTTGACTCTGAAGAGGACACTAAAACTTGGATATTTGCGCACGCATTCTGTGATTTCTTTCTAGAACTAGATGCTGGTTAAATATGGTATTTACTGAGATATAAAACTGTATCTCCTCCAGGACGCAGGAGCAGGTAATGGGTTTTAATATATGAAAAACAAACAATTGTATGCATAAAGGCTATAGCTAACTAAAGAAAAAAATACTGTAGAAGATTACAGGAAGTAGTCTGTGCTAAAATACAAAGACAAGATTATTTTTAAAACTACATTATTATATTCAACTGCACTAAACAGTACATTATACTAGAAGCTCTTTTCTATCTTCTGATCCTTCCTTTTTTCTCTTAGCCCAAATAGAAAAATTTTCTGGGACAGATTGAAGTTGACTTTGTGAAGTGGTACTTGTATCTAGGGATATGGGCACATAAAACTACTATTTTTACTTTTATTACATAGATACAAGTGAAATGCAATAGTAGTATCAAAACATGGAAATACTTGGTTGGAAGGGAAGCAACTTCGACCCTCTATTAAATAACAGGGACCCTCTCCCTTAAATTAAATTAATTTAAACTTTAATTAATTAAAAATGAAAAGAAATTATTAGTGAGTTCCATTCTTCCAGAACAGACTCTACAGAACTCTGCCTTCTGAAAACTGGTAGATGCTGCTAAGGTTGCATGGTACTGAATCTAAACTCAAAAGTGAAGCTGTTCAGTGAGAATTACTTCCATGTCAGCTTTACCTGACTATAGGTTGCTTTTCTGCATGCTTCAAAGACATTAGGCTTTTAAAGTGTTGGAGCCAAGCAGTCTTGAGATCAGAGTATCACACTTCCTCTTAAGTATTCATTTAACTGTAACTTTTATTGGACCTGATACATAGTAAAGTGTAGTATTGCCCTAAGCAACCTTAACTTTTTCTGTACTGTAGGAGCACAATTGCTATGAAAAACAAACAAGATGCAGGGGCTAGAAAAAAAGTAGCATTTCCCTGCCCACCCCTAGCCAAGTGGAGAGAAGTTCTTTAAGAGCTGTACTGTTGTGAATAGGGATCTGGAACTTGTAATGAAGTGTCTGATGTATGGCAGGTCACAAGGTCGAGGAAGTAAACCATATCTATGCCTATGACTTCGCTGTAGCCAGTTTTGAAAGACTCTTCCCCCTGTAACTCAAGCTTATCACCTTTCTCGTTCCAGGAGGAGACTAGTCTCCAGAAAAGACATTTGAATGAACATTACTTCTTGCTGTCTGGTGCCCTCATATGCTTTGTTTGTATAAAAAGGGGAACAGCTTACTGGATTGGTTTTGTAGCATGAGGAGTACACTGATAAGGCTTTACTCTCTTTTCCTAGATCACGGCATGTTCCGTGGCTGTGTGGTTAGATACTTTTCCCAAGCTGGCTTCCTCTGCCAGTCTCTGGTCGGTATTGTATTGACATTGTGTTTGTATCAAGGGCAAAATGTAGCTTGGCTTAGGTCTTCCTTGGTAGTTTTATATATCTCCTTTGAGGGGACACCTTTTAAGTAGACAATTCTTATCAAAGTATATTTTTATTGAGTGGCACATCAAGCTTGTGCTAAATCATAGGCTTGATTCTACCTTTCAGTTTTATCCCTCCCCACAAATGCAATTAACTGGATGGGGAAAATTGCTTCATTTGCAGAACTAAGTAGAGAATGTCTTAATAGGTTTTGGAAGGGTATAGATTCTGCCTTTCGAAGGGTTCTGCATGGCCATTCTGTAGTTGAAAACACCTCCAAAGGGCAGTGTTGTTTTCTCGCTTCATTCCTGTGTGGCAGCCAGTCCCCTGGGCAGCTAGAATATATGATATAAATAAGACTGATTTTTGCAATTACAAAGGCTGTGTGTTGAGAACAGTTAATGGTGTTGACGTTTGCCTGGTATGCAGAAGTAACAGGTTGTCCAAAAAGCTGGTGAAATCTCCATCCCTGAAGGTTTTCAAGGCTTGGTTACACCAAACCA